GATTGGAATTTGGATTGACGCGAATACACGTCGAGAGCAGTTAATTGGTTAAGCGTACCTATCACGAAATAACTCGAGTATCCTTTGAAAAAACAACTGTGTTTTTTTATACAATTAAAAAAAAAAATTTGTTCCTATTGCAGTTGAGTATTGTGATTTACGAAACGGAACGTATATAATTATCAAGAGATCGACCACCAATTTACTCATTCATCTCGACTATTAGAAACACGAAACAGGGTTTAACGATTTAAGCTTTTACGCCAGGTAAAATTCAGTGGTCTTATTAAAATCTCAGTACGAGCTTCTTTTTCTTTCTCCCGGGCGTCGAACAAAGAACGGGGAACACGAAGGTATCGTTAATTAACTCCGTACGTCACGGGAAGAGGAAAAGTTCCTACTCTCGCAATCTCGAGCAGGGTCATACAGATTCGTACAGAATGTTTCGCGGTTGATTTTATAGCCGAGAACAAGACCGCTGCGTTAACGTCAAATTCGAAACGTGGACATTGAAAATTTGAAAATTCTCTCCGACTGTCTCGATATTTCTGTTAAATTTCACTATTGGCAGGCTACTACTTTTAATTAGAATCCAACAGGGGAACACTTCTGAACGCTTTGTCGGAATCTTCTGTGTCAATGAATATACAATTGTGTACAACAAAGGGAAGAGGCAGAGAATAAAGAATACTTGATAGAATTAATTGCGTTTTCCGTTAATTAGTTCGTCTCTTTTTAAAACGAGTGGAATCCTCGCATTATCGTTATGTCCTCGTTTATTCATTTTTATTTTTGGAATTGTATACGCTCGAAGAAAACTGTCGCGATCATACAATAATATTATTCTTCATAAAACTGTCAACGTTATATATTTTATTTTTTAATTAATAATAGGACAACTTAAACAGATACTACGCAATAGAACCCATGTTTATATGAATTTTTGTTATTGTTTTCTTACGTAGTACCCATACAAGATGCTGTTTATATTCCATTTATCGAGCACAGAGGATTCTGAATTGATTCCTGAGGACCTAACGACAGTACATAGATGCACAATACTTTTAACGAAGCTTAAGCGACAGTCTTAACAAAACGTCTTGATTCCTATCTAAAAGGACACGTTTTTCTACCCGGAAGCCAGAGGGTTGTTTTAATTGTAAGTACCTCGTGCGGTATCGCGAGGAATCTAACGTGACTGTGCACGCGACACGTTTCGACCAAACTCGTTGCTCGCGTGCATCTCTCAGCCCTCCGAGTCGATCCATGCCAGAACGAGAACCTATTTGCCTCCGCGAAAGTGTCCTAAGCAAGACTGGGATCGGTAGGAATCTCATTTAGTTTCGAATTTCCCTTCCATCGCGGGGGCAGAAAGAGACAGAGCGTCGATTATACCGGGCGACGCGACGATCGCAGTTAAAGCTACACGGTGTTTCGCAGTGTAAACGTAGGCCGTCGTCTCGAAACTACTTACATCCCCATCTCTGTTCCAGTGCCGTCTCTTTTGTCGATCCTAGTAAACACCGGCTTGTTTGACCGAAGGAAAAGTTGTCGGGCGACACGAGGCTCATCAACGGCCGTGACACAAGCTAAAGGATACGGGCGCGGAGGACGGCGACGCAGGACGAGTCCTTCGAGTTTCTTTTATTTCCAACCCTTTCTTCTCTCGTTTTTCTTCTTTTTCCCACTCCCATCCTCATTGCAACGACGAGTATTGTCCACTCGCGAACTTTCCCGAGCTCTCGTTCTTTTCGCCGAGAAGAGCCGGGATAAAAAGGAGAAAAGAAGTGGGAAGAGATTGATTGTGAGTCCGCGAGGCACGGACCGCGCACCTCTCTCACTTTCGCTGCTCCCTGACCCTTTCTTCGCCTCTTCTTGTTGCTTTCGGAGCCTCCATGAATTTATGATAACGTTTAACGTTCGATTCAGCGATAATTGGTACAATAATATACCGATTAGTTGGGAATTGATACGTTAATCGATACACTGTCAAATCCATCAGTTGCTGCATCGAATGCCGTATTAAAAATAATTGTAAAATATTTACGCGTTTTGTTTCTTCAGCCAATATCTCGTAATTTCTCGAAATCCTTGTTCTTCTCGAAGACAGCACGCGTAAGTAATTCAAGCAGATATATTTCGATCTCGTGTACTGTTCGTGCAGGTAAAATGTTCATATTTTCACCTCCTCTGTCACGTTCTTCTTTTTGCATGTCTCTTTTCCTTTTCCTTTTCCTTTTCCGCATATATACACGTTCAATATGCATGGATCTCGAGACGCGTCTCTTATCCAGCCTTTACTTCTTTTCTATTGTTAAATATTAATATACCTTATGGTCCCATGGAAAACATGAATCTTCGTGGAAGGAATACGAACCGCGTGGAAATCCTCTAACGCAATCTTGTAGTTTTTCCGCGACAAGTCGAAAAATAAAGAAATATCACAAGTTCATCGATCTTCATAATTTCTTATAAAATTACCATTTGAAGTACGTTCCCCTTAAGTTACATTACTTTTCTCCCGAGTTTATGGATTAATTCGGAGAATATAGGTCGTTGAACCTGTTTCAAAGTGTTAGGAACAAAGGGACAAACCTATTCTTTAGCTCCTCCAACGCGCAACGGATGGATTTACCACGACAATTCGAAAAATGTTAAGAGATCCTCTCCGCTATCCTAACCATTGACGTCGCGATCTCTATTTCTGAGAAAAAAGATAAGAACGAATGAAAAGCCCATGACCCTTATCTTGATTCGCCGCAAAGCGGTTTCATTTCGGATTGGACGAAACGTATTTCCAATATTCCGACATAGATCGATCCCCGTTCTCGACAATTTATTCCCCCCTCTCCTCCTCCCTTTGTCGTATCAGCGAATTAAATTACGCCGTGGAGGCGTCCGACCGTTTTCGTTTTTCTTTTCCCGTTGCTCCATCTTTGGTAATTTTCATTATTTACCTCGCGTTACGAAGGATCACCGAGACGGCCGCGATACGTCGGATCAACGGAAAATTAACGCGTCTGTTGGTTTTCTCTCGGAAGCCCGGGAAATCTTCCGTCGCGATGATAAATTGAAAGCAGCTTTTTGCTTGGAAAAAAATGAGACACGGAACGAAGAGCGAAACTATGGAGATATATTGGATTTTAAATATTCTCTTGCTCGAACGTTGACAGCGACTTATTGAAATTGATCGCGCTTCTGAAATTATTGGACAGGACGATTCTTTATCGAGAATGTTAATTTCTATTTTATATTACAATAGTAATGTAGAGTATTGACTTGTCATGGTACTCAAAAAAAGACCGTCTTCGTATGAAAAATAATATTTGAAACTTGAAAGACACGATCAGAAACAATTAACAGGAATTGTCCACGGAAAACCAAACTCGTTTTCACGACGATCGATATTGGCGATCGAACGAAGTTATCATTCAGACCGGAATAAGGGCCAATAGTCTGTAACTGGTAATATTACAGACGTAATTTCCTCTCCAGGTTTTCCTCCGTAAACTCCGGGAGACTCCAGCCCTCGCCAGAGAAGGGGATTTTCGGGAAGATGAGGAGATAACGTAAATTTATTATCCGGTTGTTTTCGATTCCGCCGGCTACCCTTACGGGATTTAACTTCGTTTCAATAAACGCAACGAGTTCCATCGCAAGCTTGCGGTTTATCAAGGAGGAAGAATATAATCTTTCGTTTACTGGAGAATCTAGTCCCCCGTTCCCGTTGCCTTTATGCCATTCAGTGAAAAGTGAAGAAACAGTCGGAGCTTTATGAACCAACGCGGGGCGTTTCCTTTAAACTTTCCTTATCATTTTCCCTCGCGAAATTGTGAATCTCGCATTCGTTATCGGTAATTCCGTGTGCTTTCTTACGTCGCTATCAGAAAAGTCGGAATAGAATAGTAATAGATAGGGGCATTAAATACGAAAAGTTGAAGAGAACTTTCAATTTATGTAGATTTAGTTGAATGGGACAAAAGAGAACGCACCGAGCTCTGATAGCATTCGTTTGGATTGCGATCTTAGCGGTCCCGAGCCACCATTTTAAATATTCTACGACGATTCTATGAAAATCTATTGCTCGAACAACACTTTGACAACTGATAGAACATAATTACAATATAATGACGGAAATATACACCGAAATTGATGAATTTCGAGATTCTAAAACTGAAATACCGGGAGTATTTTTCCGTGGCAAGTTAAACAGCAGTATTCGTATGGTCGTGAGCCAAATTCGAGCCTTGACTTCAGCTTATTGTTAGTCGCCTCTGAATATCTGTGGAGTAAAGCAGATAGTTTCAAGCACGGTAGCAGCATTGCACCAAATAAGTCTAGTCGTGGGCGTAAACTGTAACCGTTAACTGCATCGGTTGTAAACTTCGCTCGTAGTAAAAGACATAAATAACGAAAACTTCGAGCTACAGATAATGCAGCGGTTTAAATGTGTTTCCGCAATGCCAGTGACAAGAGATAACTGTAGAACGTTGCGAGCAGAAACGTATTGCATAAGTTGGACGCGAACACGACTGACCGTTACTCCAAATAAGTTTACTCGTCGCTAAAGATCGTTAAGCGTCGTTCATTTACTTTTTTTTCAAGAAGAATATTTGAAAGATATGCAAATCCTTGGTTCAGGCTACTCTGTCTCCATCTTAGGGTTACAGAGTGTTAAATGCGAAGGATTGAGATTGTGTAAAAGGTCCTGTGAAATATTCGACTATGCGTTCGAACGTTTGTCGTAAAGATCTGAGCATGGAACGTAATTTTCTATGGTCGTTCGACATTCCTGCCGGCGGCCAAACCCGACGAAGGAAGCGGCGAATTGCTCGGAAGACTCGGGAACGGCGAAATTTACTGCTGGATTCATTTCGGTCCGCGGAATAAATGGACACTTGTTTGGGAACGATGTAAGCTTGTGGGAAAAGACGTGGCTCCCGTGGTTTATCACCGAGGACAAACAGACCGATTAAAACAGAAATAAACGCTTCGCTTACCGGCGTCATGCGCGATTCATAAAGCTCCCCAAATGTCCATTACGCGTCATTAGACGTGTCAGACATGAGAAATAATCCGTGGATTTTACTTCGATCTTCTTGGGTACATTCGCCTCTGTTGAGAATTAAGTGTCCTTTCAGGATCTACAAGAGCTTAGCCTCCGGTCCGAAGGTTTCTGCACCTGCAAATGAAAGAAACGGACCGGTTATTCGAGAAAATGAGAAAGTAATAGTGATTTGTAATCAGAACGATTTTAACAATGAATAATTAAAGTTGTTAATAATACCGGTTGAAATATTCTTTCCTCGTTCTATTTAAATCTGAACGATGGGACGTATTTCACTTTTTATCTGAAATTCGATCGAATCGAGAAATAATTACTCGCGAGACCCTTCGTGCCAATTTCATCGGTTAAAGCAAAGACACTTGAAATTTAATCCGAATACGATGTGTCGGATACCGTAACGCGTCACCTCGAGAGCAAACTTACATTTTTTCCCCACCCTGTGTACTTAATCAATATTGATGTTGGATCAAGCTACAATTCATCCGACGTATTCTCCTTGCCTTATATCGGATATTGGAGAAAGTGTCAGGTTAAGCGTAGTTTACGACGGCCAGTAAAGGCGTAAAGTACTATAGGTGCACTCGGAAGGTAGAAGAACGAACACCGATCGGCGATTTCACGATAAATCGCGCGAACAACGGAATATTACATTAAAAACCGTCTTATATAACATAATGCGTAAGGCTCTTTCAGAGACTCAACGTAAACAGCTTTTCTGTAGTGCTTTTTAGTGCTATACGCCATTAAACACAATCATATTCCAATTTTAATTATCATTACATTACATGAAAAATGTTTCACACAAGAATTAAATGTTTACATCACCTATTATAGCAGAACATCCTAAATTTCTATATATTTTGAAGTACGTCGGTAATTCTATTACAGGTGCGCAGTGCCAATTATTGTATCGATTCAGCATCTAATCGTGTTCGAATGCCTCTTCCCCAGCGCACCGGGAATCGACGGCAATCGATATAATTATATACTTCTCCTATCCCCTTTCCCAGACGGACTAATTACCAATCGATGTTTTAGCAGCTTCGACCAAATATCAGATTCTAACTGCTTCTTTCGCAACATCGTTTTTGTTGGTCAGTTAATTTCTGCAGCTACCAGTAATGGTTTTTAAGATGAACATCGTTTCTGAGAGAGTTTCAATAACGCATCTCGAGTCGACGAATTCTCTGCGGTTACACCAAACGCAACAACGGCCACGAAAGGGCTCGGGGACCACATTGTCGATCGCGAAAATCGATCACAAGCCTCGTCTTCGTGCCCTCTCTCCTCTCGATAAAAACTTTCTCAACGACTCTTTTCCATCCTGCATTCTACTTCACGTCTTCCCTCTCCCTTTGTTCTTCTACAATATCTTTTATACTACGACCTCGTTTCCTCGAAGAGCTCGTACCGACGCGACGGTGAACAAGGAGAGCTCCGAGTGAACAGCTGAAACATTAAATTCTAAATGAAAAGGCAGCGCGAGCAGGACTTTGGACTTTCAGGTCGCGAAGACGAAGAGGAGAGGAAAGGAAAAAAGGATTGGGAGAAAGATGGAAAAGAAGGGACGGTGTAAAAGCGAAGCTGTAAAACGTGGACGGAATCCCTCGGTTGATTCACGGGCTCCTCGGCCACCACGGTCGAAGGGAGAAAAAATATTTCCGAAATACTTCGCCGAATCTGCGGGTTTATTCGACGTACGGCGCGAACGAAGTTGCCGACGGGACGTATATTTTTGAGAAAAGCTCGCTAAAAAATAGGTCGCCATGGGTACGTCACGAGACAAATCGATACGGATGTGAATCACGATGGATTGACGCGACCGAATAAAAAAGTAAATAGCACCCGATGTTTTACTTGTACTCTCTTTTTTCCCGTAAAGGCTCTAATTGAAACCTGATCGCTGTACAAATCCCCCAATCGTTACCAGCTCTACAATTTTAGCATCGTTCATTTTTATTCTGCAGTTTTTTCACAATTAAAATGTCTATTTTCACCGCGACGTTAACGACATATTCCATACACGTGCACAGGTTTTAAAAATGAAATTTATTTAAACAAAGAAGCACGAGGAATTACAAATACTCTGAAGTTGGAATTTTCTATGAACGATGTTGAGAAATCTTTTTTCTCTATTATTCATCGCCCCGCATGTGAATCATTATCCCGGGAGACCGACTTTCCCGTCACGAATTCCAAACTTCGCGGTAACACCTATATATTTCTTCTATACCGCGCTACACGCAATGCATACAGAAAATAGTACTTTTCTCGACAGGGAACTTTTCTATTGATAACAACTGAAACTACCAACTCGTTCGCGTCTATGTGTTTCACCGTTCTTGTATGGCTTTTCTTTATTGCGCGCCGCGAATGTGCCCCGTGTGTGAACGAGTTTCTCTGCAACGTTTTTGTGCGAACGGAACTGTTCCTATTCTGTATTGACGTTAATCATTGCTAACACGACGATTTACAGATTGTTCTTTCGAAACGTTACAATCCCCTGTCGAAAGGTTTTAGTTGGACAAAGGAACAGAAAGCCAACTGAAAATAATTCTCTCAAAAATATAATTGCTGTCGGTTGGCTTGGTATTTCTGTACCTGATCAATATCTCTTTAAGCGGTTTAAAAAGCTCTATTGGAAAGGTAGAAATATATAAAGTTATTAACAAAACTATTGTTACAAATTATTAATACCGCTTGAAAATTGGACCACTTTTATGGGGTTTTTCTCACTTTACGGGGTTGAGGAACAACTTTTCGTATATTTTTGGAATTCCTACATATTCTCCATCAAAATACACGTTATTTGCCTTTTGAAACATTAAAATTCTCCAATCCGTTCAGAAGTTATGATGTTTTAAACATTTGAATGTAATTTCGGGCCAGATGTTATATTTTCAGTAATTAATTTTTTTCTCGAAAATGCGTAGGATTTCGGGGGTATGTTTATTGACCAAACATGATTGTAATTGACCCCCACAGGTGAAAATAATTTTTCCAGAACGATTTGACAAAATCTATTTCGCCGCAAAATTCTAGCACCTACTCGAATTTTTTTCTCAGAAGTGGATAGGATTTCGGGGATATGTCTATTCACCAAAAATGCTTGTAATTGACCCTCGCAACCGAAAATATTTTTTTCAGAACGATTTGATAAAGTTTGACAAATTTCAGTGAAACATATCAACGGTATGGTCAGACATCACAATTTTAGTAATTAATTTTTTTCTCGAAAACGCGTAGGATTTCGTGGATATGCGTATTGACAAAAAATGATCGTAATTGACCCCTGCAATCAAAAATAATTTTTTCAGAGTGATTTAAAATTTTTTAATTTCGCCGAAAAATTTTCCGGGTCAGTATGGAACTTTGGAGTTTCATTTTTTTTGTTTTCAATTCTCAAGCCAATTAGTTTCGTTCCAGAGGTTGTCTTTTCCACATTTCGAACTATACTCTCGACATGTTGAAGGCACGACGCGAATTAATCGATGATAAAATGCAGGAACTATTTTTACGAGAAGAATGTTTCGCGGCGTCCTTCCGGTACCGCGCCAAGAAAAATTTCAGGAAGTTGGAAATCAGTCGTGTCTTCCGGCCGCGTTATCGTGGAGGAAACCAAAGGGGGTGGGGGGTTGCGATCGAGGGAAACCAATGATACAAGTGGACCGAGGTTTCGTCCGGGCACCTAAGACGATAAATCATGTGGTTACGGCATGTCCATGCAAATGCGTGTATGCATGAATTACGCTCGCGGTTGTGCGTGTGAGTACGTGTCGCTACACAACTATATCCGTGAAAGTGTGTACAGTGTTTCCGTGCAATTGAGTATGTATACTGGGTATTCTGTAACGGGCCGTTAAATTTGATTATTGTTAAATCGATACTATTTTTATTATCCTGGGATATCTGGGATATCACCGAATGAAAATAAAATCAATCTTGGGTCAAAGTGAGCGTGGTACCACGGTAGAATGTGGACAGTGACAAATAATTTTTGATCAATTATTAATCTTTCGTTTTACCATTTACCACTGTGCAAAAACTGAACCATAAGCGAGGGTCGTAGCCTGAAACCTTCCCTGGCCAGGCAATATTTTCTACTTGCCTCGGTGTACTCAAGCTTCTTGGAAAAAATTGCATTTGAAAGAGAATGAAATTGCTATTTCTCGGCGTCGTCGTCGCGCTTCGGGGGACGCGCAGCGCGAAATTAGAACTCATTAAACCATAGAACGTTTTTCTTTGCTCCTCGTCTCCGCCTTCGATCACGAGGAAAATATTCCTCGTCGCAGTTACGTGACTAGTTCCGTGTACCATAAAAGTTTATCGCTCAGCACGCATTTACGCGACAGTCGTGTATCAGATATCTCCCCGATATTCCTGGCTTCTAGGCGCGTAAGTTCGAAACCGGCCGCGCGAATAAAACGAAAAATGATAAAATATCGGATAGCGCGAATACCGAGGCGAGCATAAATCCACTCGTTCGCGTCTGTCCTCCGGACACGGGTATTTCCTACAGTATTAAAGTTTCTCTCTATTATTTTATCAATTTTTCGATACGATTTCCCACTCCGCGTCGTATTTAATTTTAAATGAAATCCCAAACATCGACGGGAAAAACTCCCTTATAACGTGGAAATTACAGATAACAGGTTCGTGCTGTATTTTTATTTGGAGGAAGTACCCAACGCAGAGAGATTTTACCGCTAATTCAAACGTTACCACGAGGACGCAGAGCATCCTTTAAGAGAGTCGTTGCGGTTAATAAATCGAGCGAACCAGAAAGAACGTACCCGCATACCGTACGTGCTGTACGTAGAGCTGACTGGCATGTACGAGCGTACGCAGCAATTCTCTAGTCCGTCGTAAGGTTGTCGGGTCTCTTCCGCTATTTCGAGTCGCGAACTTCCCCTATCGTTAACGAAATTGATATCGGTCGTCCTCGGGAAGTTTCGTGCCGCATAAGCTGCCTTTATGGTGCTCGCGAGAACTCGAACGGACTCGACCGTGGAAACGTACAGATATGCGTGACCAACTACTCCTGCAACCGGCAAATTATTGATGCACCAAGTTCTGCAAGAGTTACGATGAAGTTCAGCGGGTGTAGTTCGCGC